TTGGTCCTCGTTTTAGGTTTATTGTCAAGAGTTTTGAGATTAGCGCACTCTCAATGCATTTTGTTTTTAGTGAATCTTTTTCTCTCCTGATCACAATGGTATTTATTAACGAAATACACACACGCACACACACTTATTATTATTATTATTAGTTGCCTAATTAGATGCATCAAAGGTGATCTTCAGTGATGCACTGTCCTCATCGCCGATTTCGGGTTTTGCATCATATTGGCTCAAACAGCAACCCCGACCTGACTTCAGAAGAGTCAGACCGCCTCCTTAAAAGCGTCGTGCTACGCACGTCGATATTGCAAAAAGCAATATTCAATGGCTAATAATCTGATCGTTCTTATTGACATACGTCAGCCAATGAAAAAGAAAAAAAAAGAAAGAAGGCTTTTTACGCTCCCTTCCTATATACTGGTGTCTTTTTACTTCATCTGGTTTCGATTCGAGCTACTTTCCCTGGATTCCTAACTCGGTAAGCTGGCCTCTTTCTTACATAGTCGAATACAATGTTTTATAAGTTTTAAATATTAATCCCATATCAATACTAATTCTTTAACTAAACTTACACGCGTACCCAATCCAAATCTATTCTATTCTAGCATTTACTAAAAATAAATTATTCGCTATTCTTACTATCAGATAAATATTTATGTCTACATTTATCTTATGCTCCTAGTCAAACGAAATTCCACAAAAATTCCTATATATGTATGTATGTCCACGCATCAATGGAGTAAAAGTACTCACGCGCACATGCAAGGTTACACATACATAAATTCTATCCCCCATTTACATTAATTTATACGAAACAGCAAGAGGAACATTTTTCGTTGAGCCATTCTTCTTTAGCCTACCTGCATCTGGTCCTTATTGCATTGTGTAGTTTTCTGCATTCCGTTGCATGTCTTGGCATTGTTTTCTGTCTCCTTTTGCACCAAGCCGAGAATCTCGTCTGTGATCCATTCTTTTTTTTTTTCTTTTTCGTCCATTCCCTTTAGGATGACGTCATTTGATGATGTCATTAAAGGTTCTCTTAGTGTGTCCATTTCGAGTTTCCATTTCCATTTAGGTTCGGATCTTTCCGGAGTCTCTTGTCTTTCAATTTGGGTGCTGCGTTAGTCATCTTCAGTTTCCGTAGTTTCATTCTTAGTTTTACACATAACAGGGAGGTGGTGGATATGTTTTGCAGTGAACAAAGGTTGCAGTTTTTTTTTCTTTTTCGTAATCATTTCACCACAAGCAAGGTGATAAAGCCACTAAGACACAAGGGGGTTGCTGAGAGTTTAAGAAAATGAGAATACGTCAGTGAGGAAAAAGGATAAAAGAATAGGTTTCAGGTAGAAAGAAAACGTTGCATTTAAATATCTGAAGATCGTAGACAACAGGGAAGCAAGAAACCACACGAATTCCACAGGCAAGAAGTACGAGAAAAGAAACTATTAGAATAGAACTTACGGTTATATCTGGCTATTTTAAAGATAAACCGATGAGATTCATGCGGTCTTGATAGCAAGGAGGAAATCTCATTGCAACCATTGGCATGAAATATTTATAAAAAAGAAATTTTGTTTGCAGTTTTTAAAGCAATCACACAATCGAACATAAAAATAGATCATTAATATTGGGGTGAGTTCGACCGAAGACAACACAATATTAACTTTTAAATTGGAACTAGAAATTGATTTATTCGTCAAGTTACAGCATTTTAATGGTTATTTTTCCTAACAGAAACCTTGCCGCAATGTACCGTTTTATTTCATTTTTATGTTTTTATGTGTAGCAAATAAACATACGGCCACCTGGGGTCTACGTTCACGCTCACTCCGATAATCTACAACAGTCATTTCAGATGTTCGCTGTTTTATGATGCTGGGCCATGGTGTCAGAGGCGGATAGTGGTTGTATAATAATAGAAGTTGATAACCCAAATTTCTTTATTGCCTTGTTACAGATCGTAGTTAGCATTTGACATGAAAGTTCGTACTAATCAAAAATGTGTCCTTAAGTCACCCCCATTAATGTCCATTAACGGTTACTGAATGACATGCGGACACTAAATCGGTTTACAGTCTCGAAAATTGAAGTTAGAGAAAAATAAGAAACATTTTATAATAATATCAGAAGTCTGCTTGTTCCTCCGTTCAGGGCTGGTGCGTACTACCCACCTCGACTGTTGAGGGCAAGGGGATGGCTAAGAATAGTAGTGGGGGGGGATGACTTTGTGTCCATCGATATCTATCAACGTGTTTTTTTTACCTACATTTATACACGTTACAAATTAAACTAAACACAACGGAATATTAAAAGATGAAAAACTTTCATGAATTTTGACGCCATTCTGGGCTCCATTTTTTTTTTTCATTCGGCGAAATCCGTGATTTTTGTTTTACTCATTCTAAATCTTAAAAAAACTCTTTATAAAATTCACTATTTTTGATCAATAATCTTGAATGTGTTATAGTTATTCAACTTTTTAACAAGGAAAATCTCAAGTCGATGTTAAAAATTGCCGCAAAACATTGTTGATTTAAGATAGATTGATCTATTATGACTTATCTCTTATTTAAGATGGAATGATCTACTATGACATGTCTCTTATTTAAGATGGATTGATCTATTATGACATGTCTCTTATTTAAGATGAAATAATCTATTAAGACATGTCTCTAATTTAAGATGGAATCATCTATTATGACATGTCTCTTATTTAAGATGGAATCATCTATTATGACATGTCTCTTTTTTAAGATGGAATGATCTATTATGACATGTCCCTTATTTAAGATGAATTGATCTATTATGACTTATCTCTTATTTAAGATGGAATAATCTATTATGACTTATCTCTAATTTAAGATGGATTGATCTATTATGACATGTCTCTTTTTTAAGATGCAATGATCTATTATGACATGTCTTATTTAAGATGCAATAATCTATTATGACATGTCTCTAATATGTATTTAGATACATTATATTTATTTTCATTTTTTTCTATGTGAATTTTTACCTATATTCAAAATGATCAATTATTGTACATAATTACGTTACAATAAAGTTTGTATTTTATATGAATGTTGCCTTATGAAAGCTGAGGTATCGTAAAGTGGGTGGCCCGTATCATAGATTCAGGGGGGGGGCGTCATAAATTCGGTGGGAGAACAAGAGCTTTGCATCGGTCCTGCTTCCGTTAGTTGATCCGCGTGTGCGTTACGAGCTGCCATTGCTTCAGATAAATAATGGACTATTCCGTTTGGTTTTAGTGAGAAAAAGAAAGTATATGTAACAAGAAATCAAGATAAAGAAAAATGCTCTTATCGTCTGCTTTCTGAAATGGAGAACTATCAATTTTGAATGTATTCATTTGTACCCTCTTACTTTTCTTGATAATGACATGCAATCATATTTATTATTGTTATAATATTTTGTTAAAGTTGTTAGGCTTAAACATTTAGCGATGCAATGGAGGAATTTCCACTTGCATTTTAACCGTGTGTTAGTCAGCTCGGATTCCCAAAAATGGATAATCCCCTAGCGTTTGATTTCCACGATAACTGAGCTACAACTGTGACACACTGTGTGCTACACACCTTCACTGGGTCAAGAGTGTTGTAGGAAGGAGAAAAAAAAAAAAAGTAGTTGCCAAATAAGAATTATTTTACAAAATTGGGGGGTAACAAAACACCCCCATGTGACTAACGCAAGGTTAATACTCGTAGAACTCGCTATGAGCTTAGTCGATCATTAAATTAAGAATTATGATTCATCATAAAATTAAAATAGGAAAACCGACAAATCTGGATACTGCTTGGAGATTATTTTTATTTTAAGAAAGGTGAAAATTTCTACTTGGCGCACAAAAAAAAAAAAAAAAAAAAGACTTTTGCGTTTTCTATTCGAATCTACTACGAATGATCGAACGCGTGTAAAGTAAACATTTCTCATGGAACGGTGCTCCATGGTCAGCGGTATTGGATAACGATTAAATAAAGATATTAAGAATAACCAGTGTTGTACGACACGCCTGAGTTGACTCTTCCAACCCGCTTGTTTCTTTGGTGACGAGGAAAAAAAACGGCTGCGAAGATTTCAATTCATTTACAGAATTCACGAGATACTGCTTCTTCCGATTAATTTCATAAGTTACTTCTATCATGGTCTTTCATTTGTTATTAAATTATAAAATGAATTGAAGAAAATTTATTAGTATTTTTATTTATTTTTTATTTTTGCATCTTCGAAAGGTAAATAAAGTCAATAAAAATTGCGGAAAATATATTAATTTGTAACAATTACTAGTTAGCTAAAAACCAAAAAAAAAATGCGTTCACTTAGATTTCTGAAAATTATGTCATTTATGGTACCATAATGTTGTGGGTGGTTATTTGCTCACATCATAGCAGCAGAAATTAGCCTTGTGTTCACGGACATAAAAGCATACTTGACAGGAAATAGAACGTACACAAATAACAGGAAAAGCATGGTAAATAGTATGTTAATTTCATACAATTTATTTATATTTTTGTGTGTATTGTTGTGTGTGGTTACAATTGTTTTATTGTGCATGTGATAAAAGGGAGAAATTACTCCGCAGTATTGCAAGCCATATCACAGAGACAACTTATACGCGTGTTGCACGTACCAATGTTCTTGGTGAATAGATTGAATTTAACGTCTTTTGGTGGGATGTCCGTATTTCCAGCAGGAACAATTTTTGTTGCATGCTGGGAGTATTTTTACTATTTTAAATTTTTATTTAATTTATTTTATACAATGTTTTTATGTTATTGTTTTATTTTATTTTGTTTATAATTTTCATTATTATTTTATATTTTATATTTATTTATTTATAATAATAATAATAATATCCCTATTTCACTCACAACAAAGATATTAAACACTATTTATTAAATTGCTTATTTGCAAGAATAATTTTATATTTTACAAGATTATAAAAATATGTGAGCCAACTCTAAGGGAATAAGCGTAAGTTGAAAAACCAGTTCCCGTATGATCACCGAAGTTAAGCAACGTCGAGCCTGGTCAGTACCTAGAAGGGTGACTGCTTGTAAGCTTGCGGGTGGTGCTTCGGAATTGTTCATTGGAGAACCGAGTTCCAATTCCAGTTGTGTTTGTTATATTCACTTACGCGCAAATACTATTGGGAAAGGTATGAATCCACTTCTTTTTTCTCGCCAGCTATGGGTTAATTAGTAAAATTTCTATCACTAAACCATTATTATCGCAAAAAAAATTCTTACAATCTAATGTTTTCTGGCTTTAAATAATCTGCAAAGGGTGGATAAGCCGTAAAAGAAAAAACAAGTCAATCAATATAATGAAATATTTATTATTTAGAGTTTTATAAAGAAATAAATATTTTTTATTTATAAAAATATCTGAAGAGGGAAATTTAAATAAAACATAACAAATAACAGTAATGATAAATTTTTAAAAAATGCAGTTTTCATTTGCTCTCACCAAATAAATTTTAACTTTTAACTTATGTTTATGTCATATGTTTATTGAAATTTTTGTGTTCTCCCGTTATTTGTAAAATAGTTAAATAATAAATTTTGCATTGTAGTTGGTTTACATATTTTTATAATCTTAGTTCACACATTTTATAATGGTTACAGTTTTCCCCTGTCGAAGAGTAAATCTCATTATAAATTTCAATTCTCCAAGTGTAAATCTTGCTAGTGTTTGCTTTTCCAGATGTAAATATCGTTACAGTGTTCGCCTCACCAAGTATAAATCTCGTTACATTTTCGCCTCTCCAAATATAAATCTCGTTACATTGTTCGTCTCTCCAAATATAAATTTCGTTACATTGTTCACCTCTCCAAATGTAAATCTCGTTACAGTGTTCGCCTCACCAAGTATAAATCTCGTTACATTGTCCACCTCTCCAAATGTAAATCTCGTTACATTGTTCGCCTCTCCAAATGTAAATCTCGTTACATTGTTCACCTCTCCAAATGTAAATCTCGTTACATTGTTCACCTCTCCAAATGTAAATCTCGTTACATTGTTCACCTCTCCAAATATAAATCTCGTTACATTGTTCACCTCTCCAAATATAAATCTCGTTACATTGTTCACCTCTCCAAATGTAAATCTCGTTACATTGTTCACCTCTCCAAATGTAAATCTCGTTACATTGTTCACCTCTCCAAATATAAATCTCGTTACATTGTTCACCTCTCCAAATATAAATCTCGTTACATTGTTCACCTCTCCAAATGTAAATCTCGTTACATTGTTCACCTCTCCAAATATAAATCTCGTTACATTGTTCACCTCTCCAAATATAAATCTCGTTACATTGTTCACCTCTCCAAATATAAATCTCGTTACATTGTTCACCTCTCCAAATGTAAATCTCGTTACATTGTCCGCCTCTCCAAATGTAAATCTCGTAACATTGCCTCTCCAAGTGTAAATCTCTAAACGAATTTTGCTTAAAGTGCCGTCTTCTGTCTCAGCTTTCAACAGTGCTTTAGTTGGCCACATTATTTTGACGCGACATTTCTAAGGTTTCATTAATGTCTTCTTAAAAAACAAACAACAAAAAAACAAAAAAAATGACGGCGGACTAGACGTAAAGTGAAAACAAATTATGGATGTTATTCTGTATTACAAACATAAAATGGTTTTCTATTTCATTATGTAAAATTATTTCTCAAATTGGACTTTCAAATATTTCTTCCTTTTACCTCTATTAATATATCTCTTTATATATACCTCTATATTATTTATATTAACCTATCCATCCCTCTCTTTTCTTTTCTCCTCTCTCTCTCTCTCTCTCTTACTATATATATATATATATATATATATATATATATATATATATATATATATATATATATGAGAAGTGATAGATTTTATTTATTAATCGGACAAAACTTATTACTTAAACGTTATTTTTTGGGGATAACTATATTTGAGTAAGCACGTCGTTTATTTAAACTATATTTATTTGTTTTTGTCTATCGGCCTGAAAATTCGACAAATTTAAATATGCGCTGTGCGTCCCCTCTGGTCAGGGAAAACTGTCGTTAGATCCGACATACCTTAGACCGTCTCGGCCACAAAGTGTGACGATGATCAAGCAAGGTTATAAAGCCCTGTCCAACGTTCTTTGATCACCGGCGCAATTCGTGGCCGAGACGGTCTAAAGCACGTCGGATCTAACGATGTTTTTCCCTGCCAAAGGGGAATCAAGATTCGAATCCTGCCAAAGACCGTATTTTTTTTTTCGCAGATTATTAATAAGATTTCTCGAATTTTCAAGCCAGTAGATGAAAATAAATATACTGTTTAACAAAATATGTGCATCCACTAAAAATAACATTTAAGTAATTATATATACCGGGTGTAACAGCAAAATTGTCCAAATCGTTAACTGCATAATTATCGATCCCACAAAATGTTTAATATCTAAAATACTACTGAACAAATTAAGTTTCTTTTCTCCAGGTTTACAGATAAGATATTTAGCCATATTGACACCATTTTTCGTAAGAATTACTGAAAAAACCCTTTGAATTATTCAACTAGAAAGAGAACAGGTTGAAATCGTTTAGTATCAGACCCACTGTCTTCTTAAATGTGAGAGGAAAAAGATCATTCAGGCCTTCAGTAATGGTACCAACATTCATACTCTGGCTTCCATCTTCAAGAGAACGGTGACTAGGTTTAAAAGAGAGAACAGTAGAGAGGAAAACTGGGTCAGGAGGTCACAACAGAAAGAGTGATCATCATTTCAATTTAGAGCTAAAGAGATCAATTAGAAAAGATCCAACTCAATCCATACGACGTTTGGCAAGTGATAGAGTAATTTCACTTATGACAGTCCAAAGAGCAGTGAAAAATGACTTGAAAATGAAATTGTACGTGAAATCTCTGAGACGCCTTGTTACTCCAGGACAGAAAGTTAGGTTAGAGAAGGCGAAGATCATCTTGAATAAGTTGGAAAATTATCCTGAAATTATATATATATATATATATATATATATATATTGTTACGTGTTGATAAATGTAACAAAGAAAAAAAAATTATTTACCACAACACAGAGCTAAATCACAAACAAATATTTAATTTACTAAAACAGAACATAAAATATATACAAGATAAACAATTGTGGCCTACAAAACAGAAAACAGAGTTACTGGCAAGTGTTACGAGGGAGAAGGAAATGGAGTCACTTTATGGCTAGTGAAGTAATCTAAGTGCTATATTTGGAAATCCACAAAGGTGTGTAAATAAATATTAATTTTTTAGTTTGGTCAATGAAAATTAGTCAAAATTCTATTTACCAACTTTGTTCCATGAAATTCTCTTTGGGTTTTGGTTGGTCGGCAACTTTTTTATAGAGATTCTTTCGGCTGGATATAATAGTCCTTGAATCAAAAGCCGGAGTTGATACTGACAGCAATCTGTTCTCACCAACTGACAACCCTTTTCCAAAATCCCATTTTTATAGGGGCTAACACCTAATTTGCATTTTTCTAGATGTTTCTCGAATCATCTAGATTTTTCTCGAATATACTAGAATGATCTAGAATCTTCCAAACATTCTATTTCTAATTTCACTATTTTACAACTACTTCATGAATGAAAACTTTTTTGTAATAACAAGTAGAACTCAAAGGAATCCCTTTTTATAGAAATGCATCCTCGTAACACTTCCCCCCTTCAAAGTAAAAGTTTTGAAATTTGAATGAAAACCTTTATAAGTCAATATCAGTCTATTTTTTTTTTTTTTTGTAAAGAAATAAGTCATAATATCAAATTTTTTTTTTTTTTTTTTTTAAGTTATGCTCTAGACAAAGCATCTGCAATAACATTGTTCCTTCCTTTAATGTGATTTATAATAATATCATATTCTTGCAGGAGAAGACTCCATCTAGTAAGTCTTTGATTTTTGTTAGTCATCTTTTGAAGGAAAGTTAATGGATTATGGTCAGTATAAATCAGAACAGGATGAACAGTAACATTGAGGTAAAAGTCAAAATGTTGTAGTGCTGATAACACTGCCAAGCATTCCTTTTCAATAGTAGAATAGTTTTTCTGGTAGGTGTTGAACTTTTTTGAGAAAAATCCAATGGCTCTATCGACGCCATCATCATCTTCTTGGATTAAGATACCACCCATACCGACATCACTGGCATCGATTTGCAGTTTAAATTGCTTTGAAAAAACTGGAGTTGCAAGAGCTGGGCCACCAATGAGAATCGACTTGATTCCAGCCGAAAGAATCTCTATAAAAAGTTGCCGACCAACCAAAACCCAAAAGAGAATTTCATGGAACAAAGTTGGTAAATAGAATTTTGACTAATTTTCATTGACCAAACTAAAAATTAATATTTATTTACACACCTTTGTGGATTTCCAAATATAGCACTTAGATTAATTCACTAGCCATAAAGTGATTTAAAAGATATTTGACTCCATTTCCTTCACCCTCGTAACACTTGCCAGTAACTCTGTTTTCTGTTTTGTAGGCCACAATTGTTTATCTTGTATATATTTTATGTTCTGTTTTAGTAAATTAAATATTTGTTTGTGATTTAGCTCTGTGTTGTGGTAAATAATTTTTTTTTTCTTTGTTACATTTATCAACACGTAACAAAATGGGGGCTCGTCCAACTCTATAATATCGTACAAAAATAAATAAATAAATAAACTCAATATACGTAATTTGCAAAAAAAAAAACATGCCTTTTTCCGTGGAAAATTTTTTAAGTTTAGCCGATGTGGGCAAATCATTCGAAGTTTTACAGAAATCGGAGCTATTACAAATTGCAGATTATTACAGTTTAAATACAAGCCCGTCAATGAAAAAAGCAGAAATAAAAAGTATTGTCGCTAAAGAACTAATGGATAAAAATCTCTTAGACTCATGTAATATTGAAGAAAAAGACGACCAAAGTAGTTTACGTCTTCAATTAGAAATAAAGAAATTAGAGATACAAGAAAGAATAGAATTGGAAAGATTAAAAATTGAAGCCGAAAAAATAGAGTTAGAAAAATTGAAATTACAACGCGAAAATAGAAGTCATAATTCCGATAATTCTT